TTCTACAAGTCGGCGATCAACCATTATTGCTGGTGAACAGACCATCCGTTTCTATAAGTGAGCAAACAGTCCTTATTGTTGATGATCAGATCAGTCGTTTCTACAAGTCGGCAATCAGTCATTATTGCTGATGAACAGATCAGCCGTTTCTACCAGTGAGCAAACAACCATTATTGCTGATGAACAGATCAGCCATTTCTATTGCTGATGAACAGATCAGCCGTTTCTACCAGTGAGCAAACAGCCATTATTGCTGATGAACAGATCAGCCGTTTCCACTAGGGAGCGAACAACCATTATTGCTGATGATCAGATCAGCCGTCCCTACAGGTGCGTAAACAACTATTGTCACTGATGATTAGACCAGCCTTCCCCGCGGAAAGAGCAAATAGCAACTATCAATGATGATCAGGCCACCCATTCTCGCAAATGACTTGACCCCCATCAACGTAAATGGTCTGATCAACCATCCCATCGAGCCTCGCTAAATCAACCGGCGAAACGGGGGGGGGGAAACAAAACGAAACAGAACAGACTGGGTGAGTAAAGGGGCGGTACGGAGAAAGAGTGAGCAGAGAGGGAGAGAGAGAGAATCAAAGACAGAGAGAGAACAGAGAGAGAGAGAGAGGAAGATAAAATGGAGTGGCTCATCAAAGGTTRACCGTTGAAACTCGCTGCGGTGAGAACAYGCTAATTTACCAGTCGACTGTTRAGACCCATTGGTGTGTGAACTCGGCTCATTGATGTGTAATCTAGCGGGATCGCTAGTTGCCTGTTTAAGTTAAAGTTCGCTGTTGTGGGAACTTGATTCATTACTGTATAATCTGACGTGTTCACTATTTGTYGGTTTAAGTTTATACTCGGTGCTATATGGACTTGACTCATCGCTGTGTGACCAAGTCGGTTCACTAATTGACTGTTAAAACTCACTGCTGTAGGAACTTGCTAACGGTGCGTGATAGCCAACCTCAAACTCGATCCCTGCTAGTCGCTGAGGACCTCGGACGCGGGCGCGGCGAGTGACAGACGCCGTTGCCCTTGGCTTCAGCGACAAGCGGGTGCCCCTCCCCGGGTTTCCCTCACAACTCTGGCGCCGTTGCCGGGGAGGGGATTGCACCCCCAAGGCCGCGGCCTTCCCCGATTAACGGGGGGTGCACGGGCTGATGAGGTCAAAGCACTAATTAGCTTATTTCCTTGATTAGTTTCATTTTTTGATATTTTTTTGAATTAGTTTTTTTTCGATATCTCCCGATTCGCGCGTTTTTGCGTGAGGCGCACGGGGAGCAAAGTTCGACCTCTCGTCGAGGCGAACGTTTTGAGACGTTTTTTGAGAAATTCTTACGGCTAGAA